TACAAAAACCTTTCCAAACAGGACTTCTAAAACCAACCAACAGGGCTGGAGAGATGGCTTGGCCATTAAGAACATTGGCAGCTCTTCTAAGGGATCTGGGTTTGACTCCCAGGACCCACTTGGCAACTCACAGCTATCTTGTAGTCTCTCTGGCCTCTCAGGAGCACCAGGTATACACATGGTATATACACATATGTAGTCCAAACAAACACTCACCAAATGAAATGTTTAAAAAGACCAAATCAACAATTAGTATTTTTCTAGTAAATGACTTTTAAAATGCTTGTTGGGAATAGTAATGGGTTTGTAATTTGAGCACTTGGGAAGTGGGAGGAGGGAGACTCAGGAAGGAGTTCAAGGTCATCCCCAACTGCACAGTAAATTCCTTTGAGACTAGCCTGGACCATACAAGCCCTTGTCTCAAAAATCCAAGAAACAAAATAAAATACTAGATAACATCAAGAGAACAAGACTATATAATAGTTTTAAAATAGTGGAATAGCTTCCAAATTAATGTTAACAATAAAAAAAACTATTGGGCTGGAGAGATAGCTCAGTGGCTAGAGTATTTACTGTCTTGCAGACAGCCAGGGTCCAGTTTTCAACACCTTCACAAACACAAAACTCTGGTTTCAGGGGATCTGACTCCCTCTTCTAACTCCTTCAGCCCTGCACTCATGTGGTGCACATACGTACTCAGGCACACACACACACATAAGTATTAAAAATTATTCAGGGTTTGGAGAGATAACTCAGTTAAGAACACTAGCTGTTTTTCCAGAGGACAAGGGTTTGATTTCCAACAACCACATGACTCTAACACCCTCTTCTGGCTCCACAGGACCTACATGTGTCCTACACTACTAGATTTACAAGCAGGCAAAACACACACTTAAAAATACAATAATTCTTCAGATACTACTGATAACAATGAAAGCAATATAGTAATCTCTCCTCCCCGTCCCCCTCCACCCCTCTCCTTCTCCCTCTGAGACAGGGCTTCTCTGTGTAGTCCTGGTTGTCCTGGAACTTTCTCTGTAGACCAGGCTGGCCTCAAACTCAGAGAGCCACCAGCCTCTGCCTCCAAAGTCCTGGGATTAAAGGCACATACTACTGCTGTCCAGCCCTATTTTTTTTTTATTTTTTAAAAAAGTGTTTTTTCCACTTTCATATGCCAAGTATCACATATGACAACTACAGAGAAACAACAAATATCCAAGTTTTAAGCACCTAAGATTATTCCAATGCCTTTCTTGGTTGATGTCTACCACCACTTCAAATACAAATGTGTTAGGCAATGAATATTTTCCTTCACTTTTGAGCTGCATAGGTGTGCTTACAAGCTGTTTCAACATTATGCACCTTCTATCAGTTAACAAAGAATTGGCAGTGACTTTTTAAAAAACCTGAAAATCAAACAAACAAACAAAACAAGAGAAAAACTAGTCTTAGTTGGGGGAGAACTGCCTAGGTGTAGAAAACTCATTAATCTCCATAGGTAATTATTGTGTGATGTTTTACTCTTCTGGCTCTTTAGCCTCTTTGGGGGACCCACCACCCAGCTCCCAGATAAATCACATATAGAGTCTTACTGTAACTTATGAATGCCCAGCTACAGCTTGGCTTGTTTCTTGCCACCTTTTCTTAAATTATCCCACCTAGCTTCAGCCTCGGGGCCTTTATCTTTCTCTATTCCTGTATACCTTTTCTTTCCTTCATACTCCGTGTGTGGCTGGTGGCTGGGTGGTTGGATTGGCTGGCCCCTGCCTTCCTGTTCTACTCATTCCTCCATTTATTCTCTCCTACCAGCCCCACCTATTGCTCTCTCCTGCCTTGCTATTGGCAGGTGTTTTAGACAGGATAAGTATCACAGCTTCACAGAGTTAAAGGAATACAGCATAAACAAAAGCAACACATCTTTACATCATTAAACAAATGTTCCACACCTTGAAATAATATTGTATCGCAGATAAACTAATACTTGCTAAATAGGCGTCAGGCTTAAGGCTTCAGTTAGTGTGTTCCCTATATGAGCATAGGTCTTTTAAAGCAAGCTACTGCTTTGTTCTGAAGAACTAGCTGGACAAATGAAATGTAATATGCAATCAAATAGTAATTTAGAAATTCAACTATACTTTGGCTGTTAGCCCAAGATGCTCAAGTTTTTTTTAGTGAAACCTCAACAATAAAAATCAATGAAAGAGCACATGCTTAGTACAAACAGGCCTGCAATTGACAACTGTCACCTATAATAAGTACCCTCAGGAGGACAAGTAACATTCTCTAAAACTCTCTAGTTTCTGAGTAGAGAAGATACAAATGGATAACGCTGATATAAAAGCACCCAAGTTTATCATCCTTCCCCTGTACCAAGCACTTGACCAGGAATGTTTTCAAGTTATCATAAATATTTTGCCTTCTTAGAAACTTCAGGAAACTGTATTTCTCAGTCTTGAGTACCCTGTAGATAATAATTGTTGATACTAGTGTTTATTGTTGTTTGCCACGGGGTCTAGCTACATTGCTCAGGTTAGCTTCTAACAAGTGTTCCAACTCAATCTCTAGAGTAGCTAAATTACAGATACTAACACAAGGAGATGCGAGGCAGGTGACCAGAGAATATATGTGTAGTAGGTGGTAAGGGCTGACTAGAAACCAAAGCATTTCTGTGCTATTACTTAAGTGTTTAAGAAAAACAAGAACTTTCCATGCAAATATATAAGATCTTTTCAAAACACAGGAAAGAAAAAAAAAAAAAAAAAAAAGAAGAAGAAGAAGAAAGAAAAGAAAAAAAGGGGGGGAGAGAAAGGGGGTGTGATGGAGCACTAAGATATTTGCCTAGCATGTGCAAGGCCCTAGCCTCTAGGCCCACATACCCACATACAAAGGTCTGACTAAAACTATACATACAAATATATACCATTGAAGAACAATGGTGACTCACAGCTGGGCAAGGAGCACTGAACCAATTTGAGCCTAAGGGGAGCATGAATTTATTGTGTCCATGGTTAGCATGGTATATACACCAAGTTCCAGGCCAACCGGGCTACATAGTGAAACCCTGTCTCAGTAAGAGTGAGAACTCCCAAGTACATTACCCCAATGACTCCAAAAGCACTACTTTGGTTGCCTGTGTGCAAACAGGGCGAGTCGGTCCATTTACTTCCTACCAGGTGCTTCAGTGCCTTTAGAACACTTAAGTAGAAAATAACATGGTACCCTCCTTTTGCCAGATTAAAAAAGGTACCAGAAATTCAATAAATTGCCACAAATATTCAAAGTAGGTTTCCAGCTAATATTTGCTGGACAACAGTACAATGAACAGTTCTTTATATTAATCCTGATAACCAGCTGAGACATTTCCAAGATAAGACATTTCAGAAAGATATTTTAGTAAGGAAGGAATAGGCAGTGTTTCAACTTCTAAAATGATACTGCAATTTAAAAATTAAAATTAATCTTACTGGAGTTCTCAAACCCTGAGATAATACTCTTTTTCTTTCTCAGAAAGACACCTTGCAATGACATTAAAATTCTTTTCCATTTAATCTTACACTGTATACAGTATTTTTTTTTTTAAAAAAAAAAGAGCATTAAAAGGGAAAGCTTGTTTTTGTTTTGCACAATTTGGTTTAGTGAGTTCCATTAAAATTCTTTTCCATGGTCATATGAAATTTAAGCTTACACCGTATACAGTAATTTTTTTTAAGGCATTAAAAGGGGGGGGCTGGTTTTTGTTTTGCACAATTTGGCTTAATAAGTTCCAAGAGTTCATACCAAATCTTTTCTCAAGAAACTGCATGTACCAAGTAAAGAACATTTGAAAAAGAAGTTCATCGCCATTTCCTAATTATTTACATTTTAATCCAATACAGACAAGACAGCTCGATGTTACAGAAGCTTAAGCAGGCAAACAGAGAATTTGAATTACAAACAGAAGCGGTAGGATGTGCACCGAGACCGGTTAACAGCAAAACCGGAAGGAAAGGGGAGGAGGAAAAAAAAAAAAAAGACAAGTATATCGTCACACTGCATACAATGAAAAGGGTCAATGAATCCAGGTTAAAATAAGGAACAAACAAACAAGACAGCCAGGTGCACGCACGCACGCAAGAAAGAATGAGGAAAGACCCAAATATTCTGAAAGCACCAGCCAAAAAATATCATTTTACACCCACCTTTCTCGCCAACCTTTGGTTTGAAAACTGCAGCGGCATTTAAAGGCCGTCCTTTCTAATGTTACCCACATTCCCAGCAGCAGACCTTACACAAAGTGCAGCACCGGCCATGCATTTCTACTCCAAGGGGCTAATGAGCAAATAAAATAAAACGAAACCTTTCTTTCTTTCTCCCGTATCCAGCCTTCGCCACCCTCTTCTCTCTTTTATTCCGCTGCCCTCGTCTCGGGATTAACGAACCCCAAACTACTTCTTTCCCACTAATGCAAACGGAAAAAGAGGCAGAGCGACAGCAAGCAGGGTGAAAACCCAGACCGTAGGAAAAAAAAAACTGGAAATTTCAAAGTAGCGGCCTGACTCTCGGGAAACGGGGGGAGACACCCTGGAGGCGGAGTCCCGGAAGACCCCGCTTCGCTAGCTTCACCCCCCGGGCCGCACGGCTTTCCGCGCGTGTGCTGGGAAATGTGTGCTCGAGCTCCCCGCCGCCCTCCCCGGGACCCCGGGACCCCGGGGCGGCAGGCTCCGGGGGGGGCCAAGTCCGCGGCGAGGCCCAGAAAAGCGTCCCGTTAGGGTCGATTTCACCCGTCAGGAATGCGCTCCGCCCCCGCCGCCTCCCCGCCGCGGCCGCCCTCGGCTCTCACCCGCCCGGCGGCCCCGGAACGCTCGCCCAGTCAGTCACAACCCCGTCGGGCCCGCGTCCCGGGGACGGCCGCGCAGGGCTCCCCGGCTCCAGCCCCCGGGCCCGGGCGGCGAGCGCCTCCAATCCCCGTCCGCAGGGGTGGCGCCCGGCCCCCGCGCCTCCCGCTCCGGCGTTCGCCCTACCTCAGCTCGTCAGGGCGGAGGGCTAGCAGGCCCATCCCGCGGAGGCAGAAGCCGCAGGGAGGACGGCGGGGGAAGGACGGCCCCTCAGCCCCACAGCAGAACCTTCTCAGCTAGGGCGAGAGCCGCCGGTGCAAGTGTGGCGGACGGGCGTGCGCTTTCCCGAACTCCCCTCCGCGACTCCAGCCGGACCGCCGCAGCCGGGGACCAGCACCGCAACTGCCATTCTCCCCCGCCCTCGCCCCGGCCCCGCCCCTCCTCCCACTCCGGCCCCGCCCTGCGTTGCCCCGCCCATCACGCCCTACGTCTGACGTCACACCATCTCCCCCCCACCCCACCCCCGCCCGCCCAGCCCTCCTCGCCAGGCAGACACCCGCTGCCTCCGGGACGAGCTGGTTCGTAGGTTCGCACACTCGTTCTCCTCGGCGCTGCACGCTCTCGCCGCCCTCGCCGCCGGCTGCGGCTCGCAGGGAGAGCCCCGGAGAGTGTGGGCGGGCGACGCCCTCCTGGTAACCCCGACCATGTCTCCCTCGAGTGACAGGTGGGGACGGCCGGAGCCGAACCCCTAGTGGAGCCGCGCGTCCTGGGCTGGAGGACCCCGACTGGGCTTTTCGCCGTCTGCTTTCACCCCTTTGTTTCTCACGGCTCACCTGCTTGATTGGCAGCCCTCGGGAGGGCCGAGCGGCCCAGGCGTGGAGAAGGGTTTCTGATGCTCTCCCGCCTCAAAAAAAAAAAAAAATTCAGCCCTTATCGATCTCTGATTTATTCAACGATACTTTAATCCAGCCCGTGTGTTCCAGTCATTTTTTAATCCAGCCAGACTCCCTATGGATTTCTCACCTATTCAAGACTTGGTATAGTTTCTTAGTTGAATAAACAGATCCTATCCTCTCCTGATCTCTCCTGATTTCTTTTGAGAGTTTAGATCATCTCCTTACAATACTGAGAAATGGGTGTGATGGGTGCCAAACTGTCCATCCACCATCTGTTGCTTAATCTAAATATATCCCTTTCGATCCTTATTTCGGTTTGTCTAAATTAGAAACTAACCAAGGAGCTGTATCTTTCCAAACCCCACTTGACATCTTTGGTAACCCAATAAAAATTTTCCCAGTTAGAAACAGGCTAGGCAGCTTAGGGTTCAGTATCTTTGAGCACACATCTTAAAGGAAGTAATTTCTGAAATGATTTTCATTATTGGAAGTGGAGAACCATTATGTGTTCACCCTTAAATGCTACCTGAGTACTGAATGCAATATTCGATAATCTACAGGACACTTAAAGCCTATGAATAATGCAAGAATGGCTTTCCAGTATAGATGGAGCAATGGCTGGGAAGGGGTTTTGAGTTGTGCAAAATAACAATGGTCTTGCATTCTGTATAGTCATCATAGTTCCCAGAGATTCAATTTCCTTCTTTTTCTGTCTTTCTAGAAATTGGAAGGATGTCCTATTCCTCACTAGGCCAATATACATCTATTAAGAAAGAGATATATTTGTTGGACATCTCCACTATGGAGGCACCTTGTGCTGAATAGTTAGTTTTATGTCAGCTTGACACAAGCTAGTCATTTCAGAGGTAGGATCCCCAACTAAGAAAGTGCCTCATAAGATCAGGGCTATAGGCAAGCCTGTAGGACGTTTTATTAATTAGTGATTGATGGAGAAGGCCCCATGGTGGATGGTGCCATCCCTAGGCTGGTGACTGGGTTCTATAAGAAAGCAGGCTGAGCAAGCCTGCCTCCAGGTTCCTGCCCTGTTTGAGTTACTGTCATCTTTTGATGATGAACAGTGACATGGAAATGTAAACCAAGTAAACCCTTTCCTCCCCCAACTTGTTTTTTGGTCATGGTGTTTTGTTGAAACAATGGAAACCTAAGACATGCCTGTAGCTCAAGTCTGTCTGAGATGGGGCAAAGATTTATCTAAAACAGGAAACTTACTTCTTTCATTCAGCTAGGCCCAACACAGGAATCTAGGATTCTTCCCAGACCTTCTTCATTCAGCCACTCATCACTAAGTCCTACTTATTGTGTCTTCTAAATATCTCTCTGTTCTCTCTACTGTATACCTTTTGCCTTTAGGGCAATCACTTCAAGTTTGGCTGCCTCCCCCAAATGGAACTTGGAAAAATTAAGATGCCTAGACCGCACCCTAGTGAAGGTAGTTCTGGGTAGCTATATGTTTTTTAAACTCCAGATGATACAATGTGCATTCAAAACTGAATGCCACTGCTACAACCTCACCCTTCCTCCTTGGGTTAATGCAAAGAACCAACTTGGTCCCAGGTGTGTTTTTGCTGCACTCTCCCTAATTTCCCCCATTATAATTCACTCAATGTTGGTTCAAGAAGTATTTTGGTGTGTGCTAAAATTGCCCTGTGAAATGAAGCATATAACCAATGTGTTTGTTGTAATGGAACTTACATGGGAGGGTGGGACATGATGGATAGTGAAACACAGAAAGGAATGAATCTCCCAGAGTGCAATGGTCTGAATAAGAATGCTCCCCCATAGAGTCATATGTTAGAATACTTGGTCCCCAGATGGAGGAACTGTTTGAGGGAGGATTAAGAGATAGGGACCTTGTTGGAGGAGGTCTGTCATGAGCCTGAGTCTGAGGTTTCAAAAGCCTTCCACCGTCTCCAGTAGTTCTCTCTGTACCTGGTGGCTGGGGATCAAGATGTGAATAGTCAGCTGTTACTGCCACCATTCCCTACTCTACCCGCACAGACTCTAACCCTCTGAAACCGTAAGCCTTAAATCCACAAGAGAAACTAGGAGGAAAAAGTAATGTCTCCTTTTGTAAACTACCTTGGTCATGGTGTTTTGTCCTTATAGCAATAAGGACACAACTAAGACAGCAATAAGGACACAACTAAGACACAAAGTAACCAGACAAAAAGTATCAAGCCCAATATCTCATTTTGTTCTCTCAAACTGAAGCCAACCCCTCGGTTGGTTGGAGCTGGATTCTGCAAGTCAAGAAGGACAGGAGGTGGAGGAAGCTTGGGGACCAGCAGGTGGGAGAGTCCTGGCAAGAAAAATTTGTCAAGTTCAAGGCAGATAGAGGCTGAAGCGCAATGAGTAAGAGGAAAGGGTTATGATGGGAGAGCTAGGAACTCTGGAGCCAGATTCGCAAATGCCTTTAGGGATGTGGTAAGGGGATGCTAAGTGACTAGCACGTATCAGTAGGTTTTATTAAAGCATCTGTTTGGATTTGAAACCTATCTCTGGCTATTCTAAGGATCAGACTATAGCGATCAACACTGGAAGTAGGAAGACTAGTTAAGAGGCTGTCTGTCGAAGGGATCCAATAAAGAAGTCATAGTCCTCCTAACCAGGCTGAGACTGTGGGAACAGAAATGGATGGTTTGCATATTTGTCTTGGGGTATAACTGGTAGAGCCTGCATGGAATGCAATAAAAACGGAGAATGAGAGAGGGGAGAGTGGGATTAAGTAATGGCTACTCCTTACTGGTACATCCTACATGACAAGTCCTGTTCTGTTTTATTAGCACTAACCCACTTAATTATCACAAGGCCCCAAAGATAGGTGTGGATCTAACAACAAATTAACAAACGAGAGTCAGAGGCTGCATAGCTGGTATTAACTGAGCCGAGATTTAGACCATCCGGCTGTCTGGTTCAGGGCTAGCACCCTTCCGTCACACACCTATCCCAAGTGCCTCCATCAGCATCACAATCTAGGAGACATTTTCCTCGGCTAGTTATTCCTTGTCAAACCACAAATCTTCCCTCCTGTCCCCCCTCTTTGTTCCCTTCTGTGTCCTTCCTACCCTCATTTCCTTTGTAGGTGCCAGGTAAATCTGTAGGTGTTACTCTGCTATCCTAATCCTGCCCCTCTCCTCTGCCGAACTCCATCTACCAGTCTTCACTGGTCCTGACGGTGTAAGTCAAGCCTGTCTGGTTACACGGCTACCCTGTGCTTACCTCTAATTTTCCACATAAAGCACTAACTACATTATTACTTTTAGGGCTTTCCCACAAAATGTTCATGCCTGGCACCAGGGAAAGAAGAAGGAAGCAAAGAAGCTTAGCTGTGAACACAAGACACACCCAGAGAGACACCATAGTCTCGTCCCTGCCCTCAAGCCATTATAAACTTGGCAGAGAAATGACACACAGAAGATCACTCTAGCCAGGCTTGGGAGAGCACACACCTCTAATCCCAGTAGTCTAGAGGCCAAGGCAGGGGGATCTCAGTGAGTTTGAGGTCAGCCTGATCTACAGAAAAAGGCCCAGTCTCTAGCAAAAAGAAAACAAAGAAAATCCCTCTAACCTGGTGTGGTGGCAAACTTCAATCCCTGCACTAGGATTGTGCATTTGAGGCCAGCTAGGTTATATAGCAAGTTCAAGCCCAACCTGGACTGTATAAAAGACCCTATCTCAAAAACAGTAATTAGCTCATTTAAAGGGCCTCTTTAATACAAGGGCCAAAAGTATGATATAAAGCACATTATAGAAGCATTGACTCTATCTTAGGTCACTAGAGGCCAAGAAGCTTTGTTTTAGCTGAAGATGACCTTGAACTTCTGACTCTACCTCCTCGGTGTGTGGTTATAGGCATGTAGCATCTAGTCTTATACTAGGGATTAAACTTGGGACCTTTTACATCTCAAGTAAGCACTCTACCAAATGAGCCACATTCCCAGCCTCAAGAAGCTTGGTCATGGGGTAGTTTACTGGGGCAGCGGGGTAGGGAATGCAACAAGGAAGGGCAAGCAACTCAGGCTGAATTCTCCTTTGGCATTAACAGGGCAGGAAGGGGTTGCCTTGGACCTTTGCTTTCCAGAAAGACATGGGAGACTCTCGGTTGGCACAACTGATTACTGCCATGAGCCTTCTCATGCTTGTATATGTTTCTCCCTAGCTGATTTCCAGACTGGCTCAGTTGTCTTCCCATCAGAGTCCAGACGTTTCTTCTCATACACTTCCCTCCTTATTGTTAGCTGTGAAGTTGCAGAGTTTCCCGTCTAGCTGTGGGACCCTGGGAAAGTTGGGAAATTTCTGTGAGCTACAGTGCCAAGACCAGTGTCAGACTGTGAAGGTTGTGGCCTAATTAGTGGAAAGGTGCCATGGATACCCGCCACCCTGCCAGGGACCCATGTATGTGCATCACAGTGGCTCTGCTTAATGTGCTCAGCTATGAGATGGGGACTCAGGGCCAAGGCTTGGCATACAGCATGCCATCAGTAAATGTTAGCTACAATCGCCAGGTTG